GGCGGGAGGCCCGCGTGGCGCTCCTGCCCCACACGCACCCCTGGGGCGGCCGAGCCTTTCCCCAGTACCCCCCCTCCCGCCCGGGCTTCCAGCGTTGAAGTACTAAAGCAGCCTTAACCTTTTATGCATAAACTTCCTTTACAACTTTAGGGACTTTCTTTACATTCAAATCGTAATGAAACCTGTAAACTAAATCCTGCCGCTGTGGTGGGCCTGTCAGTACAGAGCACTGTGAGGGCTCAGGGGTCTGCTCGACTGATTTCACAATTGAAACGTTATGAAAATGGCTCGGTAGTAAACTGAAGAGTTGCCTAATAATCTGCGTGGCAAGATATCTGTCAGGGTTGGTATTCAGGGGATTTTATTCTTAACTACTGTGTTTCTTTCCTCTTGTGGTAGATGAAAATGAAGCAGAGAGACCAGAGGAAGAAAAAGCTAGGTGAGTATCTTGACAACTGGAGGTCCTGTAGCGTGGCTGCACAAAAATTGTATTCATTACATTCTTCTTCCCGGCTGCTTGAAAGTCCGTAGCACCTGAACACACTCTGGTGTCTTTGAAAATCCCCTTAAGATGGTATCTTTGGTCTGCTAGAATGACTTGACTTTTCTGTGAAACAGTTTTACCTGTGAAACTGGGACACTTGAGTATGAAAGTTATTTTAAGTTTTAACTGTATGGACAGCAATAACCTCTCACAAAATGCCAACAGGTCTTTTATTTCTGTAATCATTGTACTTTGCGGCCTTAGTAATGGATCAGGACTTTGTTCTAGATAATTTAGAAATTCAAAGACAGTCTGTCTCCCAAAGAGTTTACAATGTAGTTACAAAAAGAGGAATACAAGGAAGCAGTGGAAGATTACCAGCTAGTTTGATGTGCAGGTCGCATAACACATCGGCTTAGGGCTTTGGGATTGGTTTTTTTATTAGTAAGAGAGTATTTGAAAGAAATTTAGAAAAAGCTTTGGAAGTATTTGGGGGAGCCTGCTTGAGTTATAAGGAGCTGTATGAGAGAAAGCACAAAGATGCTCCTTTGAAAATCTGCCAAGTTGATGGAGGTTGGTAGCAAGGACTGACTGGAAATGGGAATCGGTCTCTCATACTGAATGAAAGAAGTCTCACAATTGATAAACTATGGAAATTGTTGATTGTCAAGATAAATTAAACAAATAAAGGAGAAGCCAATGCAAGAAAACATGCAGTGTTATTTTCTATAAATGCTTCCGGTCAACAGAGATTTTTTCAATGAGAACTCTTGAATTCAGTTACCCTTGGTGGACTTCTTGACTGTAAGCTTGCTCAGTTGCTTTTTTTGGACTGACATCAACTTTTGACAGGCACAGTGTGATACAGCAGTAATGACCTCCACCACTTGACTACATACGATATCATTTTGAAGCAGCTACTAGATGCAATTATTTGATTCCCATTAGTTCTTGTAGTATAAGAAACAGAGTTGGTTCCTGTCACCTTTTCCATGTCACTTAACAATTTTCTAGACCTGCGTTGCATTCGTCTTGAATCATCTCTTTTCTAGGACAAAGAATTCTAATTATTTATTTGCTCTTTATTTGGAAGCCATTCCATATCAATTGATCCCTTGTGTTCAGTTACCTTTTCTTGACCTGGCAGCTGTTGTCAGTATTACTGTTGTTTAAGAAAATTATTTGCATGGCAACCGAAATAATCTTTAGAAACAGTGGTGTTTTACTCCAGTTTCTGGTCAATAGTGTCTAGCTTGGCATTTGGCTGCCACAATACATAGTTATGGACTCAAAAGCATAACAAATGGTAGCTTATGCATCTTATGAGTTATGTCTGGAACTCTGGAAGTGTGGTGACAGTTTACCTATTAAAAGTTTCGGTCTCTGGCCTCTCAGTTTTGGCATTCTTCGTATATATAAAAATTGTGAGTTTTTATTCAGGTTCTGTAGCTAGTCTGTCATTTTACTGGGTGATGAAGTGGAACAGTCATGCTTGAATCCTGGGGCCATACCTGGGCTGTGTTGAGTTTTGGTGCAACGCTCATGAGTGGGTATTTTGCCAACAGAAGACAGATCAAAATCATTCTATTCGATAAAAATTGGCAGTTTCTCATTCCGTTTCAGAAATATCTTTTCAGTGAAAGAATATTGTTTCTAAATGGCTCCCTGCTTACTCTGCTATTTGTGATGCAACATCCTAACAGTTAATGAAACTGTGGAAATTAAAATATTGCTGTGTAAGAAAGAGCAGTAGGTAAGCACAGTGAGACAGCTCATTTGCATGGATTAGACAGTGCTGGTCATTTTAGGTGGACCAGTAGTTTTAAAATTTTTACAGTTTTCAGTCTACAGTAAAAATATAATTGAATTCATCATTGAATTGTAGCCATTCCATATGGTCGAAGAAAATTTCACAATGCAGATGTGGGAATTTTGATTCAGTGCAACATTACCTATGGGTATTTAAATGTTTTTCCCATTATGTCTTTGAAAAGTGTCAGTCTGCAGGGAAAAAAAAAAGCTGTTATTCTCCCTTCATATATTATGAGATTTCACTTTGATTTCAAAAGAGGATCCAGGTGTAGTGCTTTCTTACTTCCAACTATTCTACAAACATCCAGTTAGTATGATTTATGATAGCTAAATATTGTCCTGCTAATATAAAGTTGTATTCATCCAGAAATTTTTTTAGTTCTGTTTTTTTTTTTTTTTAAATTAACGCAGAAGATAGCTGGAGCTTTGGCTCTTCTCTGGAATGATGTAGCAAGGCTTTTTTCATAATTAGCTGATATGTGTGAAATAATACGTGCATTAATACCTAGTTTTATCTTTTCCTGTTCGTTTTTGTTTAAGTGCTCCACCCCCACCTGGAAGTGAAGAGGAAACTGCGGAAAATGGCGTTGTGAAAACGGTAGTTTTAAATACTGCTTTAATTTGTTTAGATTTATGGGGTATTCGTAATCTGGCTAGGACTTGCAATTAAATTAATTAATGCGTAAGTGTACGCCTTTGATTCCCGCTTGAAAGTCCGTAGCACCTGAACACACTCTGGTGTCTTTGAAAATCCCCTTAAGATGGTATCTTTGGTCTGCTAGAATGACTTGACTTTTCTGTGAAACAGTTTTACCTGTGAAACTGGGACACTTGAGTATGAAAGTTATTTTAAGTTTTAACTGTATGGACAGCAATAACCTCTCACAAAATGCCAACAGGTCTTTTATTTCTGTAATCATTGTACTTTGCGGCCTTAGTAATGGATCAGGACTTTGTTCTAGATAATTTAGAAATTCAAAGACAGTCTGTCTCCCAAAGAGTTTACAATGTAGTTACAAAAAGAGGAATACAAGGAAGCAGTGGAAGATTACCAGCTAGTTTGATGTGCAGGTCGCATAACACATCGGCTTAGGGCTTTGGGATTGGTTTTTTTATTAGTAAGAGAGTATTTGAAAGAAATTTAGAAAAAGCTTTGGAAGTATTTGGGGGAGCCTGCTTGAGTTATAAGGAGCTGTATGAGAGAAAGCACAAAGATGCTTCTTTGAAAATCTGCCAAGTTGATGGAGGTTGGTAGCAAGGACTGACTGGAAATGGGAATCGGTCTCTCATACTGAATGAAAGAAGTCTCACAATTGATAAACTATGGAAATTGTTGATTGTCAAGATAAATTAAACAAATAAAGGAGAAGCCAATGCAAGAAAACATGCAGTGTTATTTTCTATAAATGCTTCCGGTCAACAGAGATTTTTTCAATGAGAACTCTTGAATTCAGTTACCCTTGGTGGACTTCTTGACTGTAAGCTTGCTCAGTTGCTTTTTTTGGACTGACATCAACTTTTGACAGGCACAGTGTGATACAGCAGTAATGACCTCCACCACTTGACTACATACGATATCATTTTGAAGCAGCTACTAGATGCAATTATTTGATTCCCATTAGTTCTTGTAGTATAAGAAACAGAGTTGGTTCCTGTCACCTTTTCCATGTCACTTAACAATTTTCTAGACCTGCGTTGCATTCGTCTTGAATCATCTCTTTTCTAGGACAAAGAATTCTAATTATTTATTTGCTCTTTATTTGGAAGCCATTCCATATCAATTGATCCCTTGTGTTCAGTTACCTTTTCTTGACCTGGCAGCTGTTGTCAGTATTACTGTTGTTTAAGAAAATTATTTGCATGGCAACCGAAATGATCTTTAGAAACAGTGGTGTTTTACTCCAGTTTCTGGTCAATAGTGTCTAGCTTGGCATTTGGCTGCCACAATACATAGTTATGGACTCAAAAGCATAACAAATGGTAGCTTATGCATCTTATGAGTTATGTCTGGAACTCTGGAAGTGTGGTGACAGTTTACCTATTAAAAGTTTCGGTCTCTGGCCTCTCAGTTTTGGCATTCTTCGTATATATAAAAATTGTGAGTTTTTATTCAGGTTCTGTAGCTAGTCTGTCATTTTACTGGGTGATGAAGTGGAACAGTCATGCTTGAATCCTGGGGCCATACCTGGGCTGTGTTGAGTTTTGGTGCAACGCTCATGAGTGGGTATTTTGCCAACAGAAGACAGATCAAAATCATTCTATTCGATAAAAATTGGCAGTTTCTCATTCCGTTTCAGAAATATCTTTTCAGTGAAAGAATATTGTTTCTAAATGGCTCCCTGCTTACTCTGCTATTTGTGATGCAACATCCTAACAGTTAATGAAACTGTGGAAATTAAAATATTGCTGTGTAAGAAAGAGCAGTAGGTAAGCACAGTGAGACAGCTCATTTGCATGGATTAGACAGTGCTGGTCATTTTAGGTGGACCAGTAGTTTTAAAATTTTTACAGTTTTCAGTCTACAGTAAAAATATAATTGAATTCATCATTGAATTGTAGCCATTCCATATGGTCGAAGAAAATTTCACAATGCAGATGTGGGAATTTTGATTCAGTGCAACATTACCTATGGGTATTTAAATGTTTTTCCTATTATGTCTTTGAAAAGTGTCAGTCTGCAGGGAAAAAAAAAAGCTGTTATTCTCCCTTCATATATTATGAGATTTCACTTTGATTTCAAAAGAGGATCCAGGTGTAGTGCTTTCTTACTTCCAACTATTCTACAAACATCCAGTTAGTATGATTTATGATAGCTAAATATTGTCCTGCTAATATAAAGTTGTATTCATCCAGAAATTTTTTTAGTTCTGTTTTTTTTTTTTTTTAAATTAACGCAGAAGATAGCTGGAGCTTTGGCTCTTCTCTGGAATGATGTAGCAAGGCTTTTTTCATAATTAGCTGATATGTGTGAAATAATACGTGCATTAATACCTAGTTTTATCTTTTCCTGTTCGTTTTTGTTTAAGTGCTCCACCCCCACCTGGAAGTGAAGAGGAAACTGCGGAAAATGGCGTTGTGAAAACGGTAGTTTTAAATACTGCTTTAATTTGTTTAGATTTATGGGGTATTCGTAATCTGGCTAGGACTTGCAATTAAATTAATTAATGCGTAAGTGTACGCCTTTGATTCCCCCCCCCCTCCTCCCCGGAAAGGTGTTTGACACTATCTACAGAAATGCTGTAGAAGTTACTAAGTTAGGAAATCCAATTGCCAGCTGCAGTACACTTTTTAAATCTAACTTAACAGAAAATATATGAATAGTACTTCCAGTTTTTTGTGGGGGAAAGATGGTGCTTCATGCTGTCTTTTCTCAAAGACATCCTTTTCAAAATGATACTCTCTCTATTTTTCCTCACTGATAGGAAAATAAAATCCTCTGATAATTTTTCTTGTTTGAATGTGATAAACAATCAGCATTTGCAGAACTGTGTGAAAATATGGATCAAGAGATGAATTACACGTGCCTTTCAGAGGCAACATAGCAGTCTTGTTTGGTAGTAGTCTCCAATGTTCAGTATGTCTTATAACTTCAGTGTTAGTATGATGAAGGAAAGGACCAGGAAATGAAATTTACAGTTGCAATGTTGATAAAAGGCCTCAAGTTTACTGTGAATGGGAACAGTTTAAATCTGTTCTATGAACAAATCGTAATTTTACTTCACTGGGATTTTTTATATCTTGCAAGAATTCTCTTAAGCGATGCAATATTTGTGCAAGTTTTAAGGACTGGCCTCAAAAGAATATTTTTCTCAGTAAATCTAATACTTTATTTATGAAAGATATTACAACTCATTTAAAGTTGGGGAAAAAAAACTTAAAAAACTTATTTCAGTTGTTTAAACTGAAAAGCTTTATTTTAAGTTCACCAAAGGCTTTTTGTGCTGATGCTAATACTGTAAGTGGGCAGTGGATTTAATATGTTAGGTGCAAGGAGACAATAGTATACTTTTCTGGACTTGCTGATTTTAAAATATTTCTGAAAATCCCATTGGCGCAGTTTCCTTGTACTTGCATATCTTGTATTTTTCACCTATATAAAGCCTAGCATTGTTAGGATATCATTAGAACATCTCCATAAAATTGAGAACTTCATGCTAAAAAGTGCACATGAAGGGTCAGCAGCAACCTAGAAAAATGGATGGTGTTCAAGTTGGTTGAATAAGAGAAGGTGAATATTTCAGTAAGGAGGGAACTAAGAAATCATTGTTTATAAGTGAAATTGGGTTTGGTTGAAAAGGTACATGCTCGAGACAAAATTTTACTTTCTGTTTGATGCATTTGTAATGGCTCTCTACTGTGTGGGTTGCCTGGTGTGTGAGAGAGTGGTGAACTTGTACTTTTCAGCCGTGGGGCATTGAACGATTGTCTTCTGTCTTCAGCTGTCATTTACAGAATATCTATACTGATCTAGACGCCCCCCTTGATTAGACTTTTAATTGTTATGTAAATTATATTAATGTTGTATAGCAAAGATGAACTGCACTCCAACATCTTATCTTCTGTGCAGCTGCTTATTTTTGTCTAATCTACGTACCAGGCAAGTTAGTAGACAGTGTAATAGATAAGGGCTAGAGCTCAGCTGTGCTTGGATAACTGCAGGCTACCTGGGCAGAATCAACTTGGCTTCAGTATGTTCAGCCTCTTGCTGAAGGAGTCAGCAAGTATGTGAATAAGGGTGATCTGGTTGATAAAGTTCACTTGGATTCCACAAAGTTTTTGAAGAAGTTCCTCACCAAAGGATTTTAAGAAAACTAAGCAGCTGTAGGATGAGTCCCACATGGACAATTGATATGTAAAAGATAGAAAACAGAGAGTAGAAGTAAAGGTTCAGTTTTCACAGGGAAGGAAGGTCACCTCCAGTGGGGATTCTGTGGAATGTTGTGCATAACCTGTGCTGTTCAATGTGTTTATAAATTACTTGGAAAAGGGGTAAGTTGTGGGATCACAAGTTTTCTGATGTTAAAAAGTTATTCAAGATAGTAAAAGCAAGGACTATCTGCGAAGAACTGACTGGTTAATAAATGGTTATTGAAATTCTGTGCAGAAAAGAGTGATGTTCACAGGAGGAAAAACAGGTTTACAAATAAAATGGTGGTCTCTGAGCTGATCATTACCACTTAGGAGCAATGCACTAAGATATGTAGAAAGATCCATGAAGTTGGCAGTTGAGTGCTTGTCTGGAGTCTAAAAAGCAGTTAAACCTTGGGATGTAGCAGCAAATGCATAGAGAACAAAACAGAAGTTATCGTTGTACCATAAATTCATGGTTCAGTTGCATCCTGAATTCTGTGTGCTGTTCTGTTTCCCTCATGTCATAAAGGCTTTACTTCAACTGAAAAAAGTTGAGAGAAGAAGAGCAGCAAGAGCAATTGAGGTAGCTTCCATACAAGGAATGCCTGAGTAGGCAAGGACTTCTTAGGCTGGAAGACAGGCGTATGTAGGATATGATAGAGGCTAACAAAGTCATGTATGGAGGCTATAAATAAAGATTGACTCCTCACAGTCCCTTCCATATGAGAACTGGGACTGTGAAATAGAAGTCGTAGGAGCCAGGATGAAAACAAATAAAAGAGGTTGGATCTTCATGCGGTAGACGGTGCTATGGAACTCCTTGCCAAAGAGAGTGTCGCTGCTGGGAGTTTATATAGAGAGAGTCCAAGGGAAGTCTGGGCAAGTACTTGAGAGAAAGATCCGTTGGGGGTTACTAAATAGACAAACCGTAACTGGCTTAGGAAATGCCCTGAGCTGATAATAATCAGCTAGGGGAGGAGCATCATATGTGTTTGCCCTGTTTTTTCTCTCCCCTGTGGTCTCTGGGAGGGAAAAACCAAAACAAAACACCAAACAAACCCAAAACACTGGACTAGATGAACTCTTGGTATGAACTGGCATGACTGTTATTTACCAGCAAGCTTGAATGCTATGGGACAGAACAGCATGCAGTGTGATCTTCTGTCTGTTTTTTCAGCTTGGTCGCTGAAAGATCTCAAGTATTTTATATAGTTTACTGATGTTAGAAACTAAATAGATTTCTCTGAAGTGCAGTGTTCATCTACAACTGGAAAAACACTTATTCGAGTTAGTCTAGATATGTAATTGAGGATGGCAAGAAAGCTAGTCTTGCATATCTTTAAGTTCTTTCCTGAGTGACAAGATAAGAGTAGAGCCGGTGAGTATGAGCTAGATAGAGGGAAGAAGGATATTAGACAGTGGAAACTATTTTATGCTTATTTAGGAAATGTCATGTTTCAGAAACAGAGCTTAGTATTAAAGATACTTCCCTATTTTGATCCAGATGTTTCAGATACTTGTAGCATTTCAGCAGATGAGCCTCCTAAATTTACTGTTAATGCTACTCAGTTCTGAGGTCTAGGAAAAGGAGAATTCTCTTCTTTCGAAGATTTCTAGAACGGATAGTTTTGTCTGGATTATTTTTCCGCTATAAAGGTAAGTGGCTGCTTTTTGTCTAAGCAATGACTTTTTCTTTTGTAGAAGGTGGCAGAGGCTGAGGATGACAGTGATAGTGATAGTGATGATGATGAAGATGATGTTCAAGTCACCATAGGGGATATTAAAACAGGAGCTCCACAGTATGGGTAAGTTATTTGCAAACGTTAACTGGGGGAACTTTCAAGATTACATTTAATTATTAATTAATAAGCTCTTTAATACTTGTCAATGTCAAACTATATGCATAGTTAGTCTCAATTTAGGTTTTTTTCATCTCTTTAGCAATGTTTTTAATGATATAGTGACTTGAAAACAAAATAGTGAAATGAAATCAATGAAATGTCTTGAAGGAAGAGCTGTTGTACAAGTTAAATTTTGTTTTCAGATTTTGAGAAATAATTGTATTAAGTTTGTAAAGTAGAGAGTTGTTTTTTATTACGGAATGGCTATGTTACATAGCATTTTTAGGGTCGGTATTGTGATGGTGACATTTTTGTTGCAAATGGTAGAGCGGTAAGCTCAAAGAACATTAGAAATGTTTGTCCTAGGTCCTGTTTGTAGTGGATACAGTTCTAATTAGACCTCTATATTTTAAATTCCTGTTGATGTTCTCAAATAAGATTTTAATGTACTTCAGGATGGAGCTGCCAGTCCCTGGATATAATTGCTCAAGATCATGGTTTAGGCATTTGTACCGTACAAGAAATTTTTTGCTACTGTTATTGCCCCGTATTCCTTCTTGTCTTGATAAAGAGCTTGTTTTTCACTGAACACTTTTGAACAGTGTTAATTTTACCCAAAATTATGAAATATTATTTTTCATCACATGAAAGTCTTCTGAGAGAAGTGGTTTGCTTGTTTGTCTCGGCAACCCTAATGTTTTTATGCCTATTAAAACCAGAGTTACTAGGGCATCATTTCTTAGTAGAATTATGACAAGTCTGCAGGTAGGTCTGACTCATATGTATTATTGTGTTCTTAACTTTAGAATGCAGATGATTTACTCATTTTTGAAACATAGTCTTTTTAAACTTTCAGTATTTCATATTCTAAACTAACTGTGCAAATCAATGTAATATAAAAAATAGCAATTCTTTCAGTTCTTTATTTGTCTGCTTTCAATAACTTGCAGTATGCTTGTGGTGTAGGCAATGACCTCACATTTTGTGAGACTAATGCAAAAGTAGGTTTATCTTCTCAGTGGATTTGCTAGGCTGGTGCTCTTTCCATGAATACAAAAAGCAATGAGCAGATGATCCTAAATCTAATTAGAGTAGAAAGTTTTATGTAGAAATGGTTGTTTTCTGAAAAACCTTTTTTCTGGGCAAATTGGACAGAAAGTTCATGGAAGGGCAGTAATCTAAAACAAACTCAACATTGCTGTTCATTTTAACTTCAGTATAACAAGTTCCTTTTATAGGATTAAATGGTTTTTCGTATAATAGTCAACTGCTGTTTAGAAAACCTGTAAGATTTGTTTGACAAAGTCATGCACAAATACAGCATGGCAGATCAGAAAGTTAAATGTTTTGTACTGTTCTAGCACTTGAATGAAAACTAAAACTGCATGGAAGTGGTACTGTAAACTATACACTGCCTTCTAGTTATACGCAAATCTCATGTTTATAGGTTGATACCACCTGTGAGGATAAGCTACATTGAACACAAATGGTAGTGAAAGCTAGCTCTTAATGTTCCAAATGAACAATACTGTAATTCCTAAGGTAGTTAAATCAGTTCAGTATCTAGATTTCTGAGTGCATTTTTATGAAGAAAGCTCTCAAGTATTTTAGAAAGTGACATGTTACATACTTTTCTGTTGGCCACAAGGATAGGTCATTGCTAGAAGTACATTGAAACAGACAGCCTTTCAATCATTGTAGAGAAATGCTTGTATTTTCCACTTCTGTACAGATTAAATGGAATAATTATGGAAAGAGAAAAGGATCTAAACCCTTTCTTTTTTTTTTATTTGGTTTTTACTCTAATCTCCAGAGTGTCATCTGTATCCCTAAATGAACTGCATTTTTCCTTTCTCTCTTCTTCTGGTTCTGTCCATTCTTGTTTCTATCAAGGTCTTTATCCTTTCAACTCAGGAAGAGTGACTGGGACTTGCTTCACAACTGTTTATTAGTTGGAGAAGTTGCTACTGAGCATAGAAAGGTACACTCTCTTCCTCCTAGGCTGATCTCTTTACTTTTACAGTGTTACCAGCTTGGAAAGCTAGAGATTCAGGATGGCGATTGAGCCTGGGTCCAGTTTGTTTCTGGATCTAGCTAACTCTTGTTTTGTGTTTTCTTCTGTTTTAAGGGTTTTCTCTGTCTAATTCAGTTTTGTTAATTTCTTTAAGTTATGGAGCGGCACCTGTGAATCTCAATATTAAGACAGGAGGACGAGCTTATGGATCTTCTGGTAAGAAAATTTGCACAGTAATATTAGTAAAAATGCAAAAAAATGTTTGATTGTTTTGGATGAAGGAAATAATTTTCACTTCCAAAACTTCTTGATAAATTTAAACCTGACTTTTTATTTCTATTTTAAGTGTGTTACAACTGTTAAAACTCTGTTTGGTAGAGACAGAAGGCTCTAACTTTCTAACTTTTCTTCACAGGTGCAAAAGTTAAAGGGGTGGATCTAGATGCACCAGGGAGTATTAATGGTGTGCCACTTCTGGAAGTAGATTTAGATTCTTTTGAAGATAAACCTTGGAGAAAGCCAGGTAATGCTCTGGTTTACGTTAACTGATATGTAGGCATTCAGTAGGTTATTTGAATAATAATTCCCATTTACAGCATGTAGATGTTACCTACCCTACAGGTAGAAGATACCGTACAATATAACTTGGAAGAAGCAGCTAAGTTACTTGTTGCCTTTGTGCTGTGCCACAGGGTATGTGGGTGTGCCATGTTTCTTAGTATACATCCCGCACATGTGTCAGCAAAAAGAGACTGTAGGACATGCCCTTTATTTTTTTTTTTTAAATACATTTATATCCTGAACTCTCTTTGGAAATTTGTATTTCTGTGGAGATTACTGCCATTGGTCTGTGCCATAGGACAGAAGATAAAGCAGAACGGAAAATAGTTCTAGCAGGTTTGGGCATGAAGAATGGTGAAACATAGCTACTTTTGCTTCTTTGTGTCCACGCATAGACGTCCATAAGCTTTGAAGAAGAAGCTGGTATCACATGGGCTTTCCATAAGCCTCCTGTGTGTATTGTCTGGTTGGCTCAAGTGATTTGGCCAGACTTGTCTAATACCAGCATTGTTGGTTTCTTTTTTCAGTGGCAGTACATCTTGCTGCTGTGTATAGTTTTTTCTAGTGTTTGTATATTGCTTTGGCAATGCAAATAGTGTCTACAAAATGGAAAAAAGAAGCCTTTGATAATATTCTGGTGTTTGAACTGTTAGCTATTTGAAATATATTCTGTGCATTTGAGTTATATCTGGTCTCTCTCTTAAAATAAAAATACTTCATGGCATCAAGTGAAACTAGGAGTCAAAACGAAATGAGGAGTCAAATACAGAAAAAGCAAAAGGGAGTGGTTCTTCACTGAACATACAGCAAACCTGTATATCTTACATTTATCCTATTGTAAAGATACGGGGATTATAATATTCTGTGATATTCTGTAAGTATCCACTCTTGATCCCCAAGACAGGATGCTAGGCAAGATACTCTTTCTGACTGAATTTTAATGTTTTTATAGTCTTAGCCATGAATACTCTGTGTTTACTGATGTAAGACTGTATTGTACATTTCAGTAGTATGTTTTTAGATCAATACCTAATCCGTTTTGATGTTATAAGTAGAGGTGTATGTATGTTCAGTGAAGAAAAGAAAAGATGAACTTTGTAATGTCCTAAAAACCTGTGCTTTTCTATTTAAAGGGGCTGATCTCTCTGATTATTTCAACTATGGGTTCAATGAAGATACCTGGAAAGCTTACTGTGAAAAACAAAAGAGAATACGAATGGGTCTTGAAATTTTACCAGTTACCTCAGCCACAAATAAAATTACGGTAATTAGTACAATTTTTGTGGTATTCTACATGCTTTTTCCCCTGTAAAGCTGCTTGTGTGTCATAAGCTTGTTCTGCCCAGTTTAGTGTGTTTGCTAGAGTTTGCACCTGACTCCCCACCCTGAGCCTGGAGTGTTCCTGTGTTGCTTCACTGGCAATTTGCGTGGATAGTGTGACAGACTAGCTACAGCTAGATTGCATCTGTACTGTTATTCAGATTGTGGCCCATCACTTAAGAGTTGTATGGTATCTTAATGGGCAATGTGTTATTTAACTTAGGCTGAAGACAATGCTATGGAAGTAAGACCAAGTGCAGAGATTCTCGATGGCAGATACCATCTTTTTAAGGTGAATTTTAGTAAACTTTTGTTGGTTGCTCTCATTTTTGTTGAGTATTGCTTCCCATGCCACCACAGACTGATAGAAGAACAACTGAAATGGACATAGCCATTATTTCAAACTCTCATCTTACATCAGCGACTTCCTGCGTATGTCACAAAATGCTGATTAAAAAGAGTTGCTTTGTTCGTCACCCTTCTGCAAGCATGTGAGTTAGTGGCCGGGTGAACTAACAAATTTCCCAGTGAAACTAATTTTTCTTTGTGATGGGTTTATTTTTAGTTGTAGTGCATTTGTTTGTGCAGATTTGTGCACAAAAAATTTGTGCAGATGTGCTGGGGAAGCTTTTGTAGATTATGGCATGTTTATTTTTCCTGTGGCCTCGTAGCTCTTACTCTGTTTTGTAACACTTACCCTTGGCAACTCCGAGATGTGAAAATCAATCTTCCATAATTTTCTGTTGTCCTCTTGGGATTCGATGGCAATAGATCATGTTATATATAATATTTTTCCGTTTGGAAATGCTGATTTTCAGAAGGCAGAAAAATCTATATGACAGGATTTATCTTAAGGATTGGACATTTTTTTCAACTTCTTGTTTTCTCATTTACTCTTTCGTTTGATACTAAAGATGAAATTGAAATACAAATGTTACTTATTTTTCTTATTTTCAATATGCAGTTATTTTTGTTCTTGAACTGTCATTAAACTGACTTGGAACTGTTTGTTGCTTTCTTCTGTATACTCCTGTGACAGAAGCGTCAATTGCAGACAGGTATTTTTGTTTCCCCTCATATGCTACTTGAGGGTATCTAGTCATTTTGACTTTATCTTAGCAAGAACAGATCAGAAGCTCCCCAGGGCTTTCTGCCTTCCTCAGTTGTCATTACAATAGTGTTATGGAATGGTGGAAGTGGTAGGCTATGGGAGTTACGATTTGCAGCTGGCTACACTCTCAAACTTCTCTGAACTGTTGTCCTGAAGGAAGAAAGATAAGTATTCGAAACCAAAGCTTCCCCTATTTCTAGCTCAATATTGACACTTTGGGGGTCCAGTGGTCAAACAGTACAGATAATAACTGTGTTGTAAGACTTTGTCATGTGTTTTACAAGGAGTTTATATATAATTGTTAAATAATTTCATGAACTTTTTTCCACTCTTCTGAAATACTAAGTGTCATGTAATTTACATGGTATGTTTCGATTAATCTTCTGTAACTGGCAAGACTTTGTCTCCTACATTTTCCAGTTACTCATTAATGAATAGAAGTCTTACAGATTTTTCGGATAAATACTTAAACCAAATCTTCCCCCCCCCCCTCCCCCCGGGTATTTCTGGATACTAAAGTCTAATTCAATTTTTAACAAATTTTAACTATTTATGTGTGTTTTTGTGGGTTTGGGAAAGAGATGCCTGTGTTTAGAAGTGAGATTCTGTAAAAGCTTAGTAGTACATTTGCCTACAAAAAGCCGTGAGATCACAGCCTATATGATGTTACACTATGAGTAAACTAGCTATGTAGAGTGATGTAGCTATGTGGTTGGTGCAGTGGGAGTGTCTTTAAAAACTGAATCAGTACTGGTTTGTCTTTAATGCTAACCCGTGTAGGTTTTTCTTTCATGTATAATGTGCTGCTGAAGTCAAACAGTACTTGAAGTACTTGCACCAAAGGTCTTGCATAGCTTTCATAACGTGTGTCTGGAATTTTACAGTACTTCAGAAACAGCAGTATGTTTTTGAAGTATTCAATCTGAACTAATGAAAAATCTTTTAAAGTTTGCATAACCCAGAGTATGAGGTGACTTCCTGGTATGACTCGGAAATTAAGTGGTTACTAGATCTCATGGTCAGTAAGGCAGACGGAGAATCCACTCAGTTTCTTGTCTCATGGTTTGTTGTTGGGTAGCAGACTTGTTAGATATCTGTCGTTAAGATTATGAAGATTTTTCTTTTTTTTAATAAGTTTGCTTCTTTTAAAAATGAAGATGTTATTTTGTTCATACAGGAAATTCTCCAAGAAAATCAGTTTAGTCTGTTCATGTCCAAATCAAATGCTTGGAAAATAAATATTAAAACTGTCTAATCTTCTGTAATAATTTGTTCTCTGGCATATTGCTTCTTATATATATTAAACATAGTACTTAAGTAATATATCTTTATAAAATATGGAGTTTTACCAGCTATGCAAAGGTGACGTTTAAAAAAAATTTGTTTAAAGTTGGGCTTTACTTTTTGTGTTGGCTACGTGCTATGTTGAGTGTTGGGGCTACTACAGTTTGGAGGTTAAACTAATGATAAAACATTGTTTTGAAGGTACAGCAGGGCAGAACTGGAAATTTGGAGAAAGAGTTGGCAGTGCAGTCGACCAAAGCTGATTTCACATCTCCTCCTGCCTTATTCAAATCAGGAATTCCAACAAACAGGTCAGTTAGACAGTTGTAACTCAAGACCAAAAAACTTTTTATACTGTTTCCTCTATGTATTTGAAGTTCATGACTTTTGTAGGAAAAAAGGAAAACATGTTTCTGTAACAGTTAGAAATGAGGGGAAGAGTGATCCTAATCACTTTTAGCCTTCAGTCGCCATTACACATGAATGCTGTGCTACCTTCTTGGCTATTCGGGAAAGAGAAAGTAGAAGGAAAGGGGAGAAAAAAGCAGGACCAAATAACAAGGCAGCTATAAAAATCCAGGTGGTGATGTATGACACCGTGTTTTTTCTGTAGAATTAGATTGGCCAACAAAATGTTTCTAGCTAGTGTCTTTATGGGTATTAGCTAATGCACCTTTTCAGTTAAACAAGACGGAATCAGACAGCTGTGACTTCAACAACTAGAAGGATTTCTGGAACCCAGTCTCTTTCCTGCAAGGTAGGTTTAGCTTCTCCATATTTGAGTATTTTACTAGACTTCCTTTGAAATGAGAGAAGTTATTTCCTTACTAGGGTTTCTTTCCCTCCTTCTCCCAGCCCCAGGTTTTAATAAGTTCTGTCTTTATATGTAAGCTACTGCTTGATACCTGGCACTTGGCTTAGGATGAATCCATGTTTCTGCTTTACTTTAGTTATCAAGTGATCCTGTGTAGGAGTTTTGGTTCTGTGCAAATTAAAAGCCATTGTATTATAAATGATGGTAAGAGAGGTAGAGCAGGTTGTATGCTTTTGTCATCAACAGTTAAAGATTAGCATCTATGACTTGTCTTTAGTACTGCATCCATAAGTACCCTGAGTAATTCAGAGGCACTTGTGTTCAATTATTCCCTGCTTTAAGAGTCAGTTCAACACCCAAATATATTTCTCTTGGGTGGAAAAAAGAAAATCTTGCTTGATACTCTTGTCTGTATTTTTCTTTCACTCCTAGAATATTCCTCCTGGTAGCCTAAATTCTTCCCTGAGCTATCAGGTTGTACTGCTCTGTTTTTTAGTAGATTTTAGTTCTTTTTTTTTTCCATTTTTCTTTGTCTAAGAAGTAGTAAAAGTCTTCCAAACTTTGTACCAACCCTGTAATTATTTTTTTTTACTTTTCTTTTCTGAATTGCTTCTGATGTATGATATTCTCAAAATTGAATGTACTGATCACAGGGTAAGGATTCCAAATCTGTATCTAGTACAGGTTTTGTTACGGGATTTCAATTCTTTACGCATCTCATTGGTGGACAGAGAATCTCTGTAGTTAATGACTAGGATATTAAAATGTAGTTAAGCTTAAAGTTGTAGAAAAAATGCATTGCGTAAATTCTGTGATTCTGTGAAATTTGCATTTGTTGTAAGAAAGCTTAATACAATAAGGTCATACATGTGCACGGTGTGGGCTTCATAAGTAAAATCTTTCCTGTATGCTTTAGCTAGGGTAAGTCTATCTTACCATAGATGTATTTTATACCATATTTTTATGTGGTACTTTTTTTTCCTGCCTGAAGTTAGCAATCCCAAGCTTAAGTGACCATCTTTCTGATTTTTAAAGGTTTAAAGTTAGTATGTTGGTTGTTAATCAGAGCGTTCCTGAGAAACTTAAGACGTGTCTGTTTTCTCCAGGAACTAAGTTTACCTTAGCAAAGGTTGGGAAACCCGTATATCTTTAAGAGTGAGAAGCCAGTAAGTGAAGTTGGTCTGTTGATAAAGAGGAAACAAAATGGTACATTTCCAGTTGTATCACTTGTGCATTCCAGTGGTTGGAATAGGTTGTTTTATATACATTTAGTGTGAATACTGTCATTGTAAGTTGTGACAATGGCAAAACTGACTTCCTTCCATATTTAACATCTGCTCCTCTGGATACGTTTGCTTAAAATACATTCTTGTGTAAATAAAAAGGTATTTCTACCAAGTGGTCAGAAGAGATTTTGAAAGAAAATTATATGCTCAAAAGTCTGAGAGTAGCTTAGTGAATGAATACGTCTTAACTGTATGGATTATATATACTTTTACTTGAATGACTTCTCCAGAAGGCAGCTACTATTTTCGGTGTATAAAAACCTGTATTACTAATTTCTTTATAACCAGGCAGTGTTTTATGGGATTGGACTTTTTTTTTTTCCTTTAATTAAAGAGTTAATTTTAGCTAGGCAGAAATTTTTTGGCAATCCAGCTCTTTGATAATTTAAAATAATTGCCTTTATGCTATGAGGCATTTGCAATAGCTTTGTTGTGAAATTGCTGGAAGCATTTCTCATGTAGCAGTAAAACTTCTCTCAGCTTCTAGCAGTAGTTGATGCTTGGGGATACTTACCAATACAGTGGGGATTGGTAAGGAGCTGGGCATGAGGAGAAGAGGAACTCAAAGAGCAGAAAAGATAGAGACTCAAGAAAAGAAAGACTAGACAATTTATCTCGCCAGAAGCTGCACCTCTTCTCAGTCACAGACAAGCACTGCCTCCAGAAAAGCCAGTTCACGCATCAGAAGGTGGCAGGAACAATATAGGAGGGACAAATCACCTGAATTAAGGTAAGGGGATGGGGGGGAAATCAGGGCATGATCCTAATTTAACATTTTAATTCCCCCATTTACTAGTCAGGGCTGCAGCATCACTTCGTGGATGATTTTACACATAGGTATTGCAGCACATATTCTCTTTAATGGGAAGTCTGAGGACAGATAGTGGTTTTTACTTTTTTTCATTTGTTTGTAAATGAAGATTAAAATAATTTTGTGCCTACTGTTTTTACCTTTCTAGTTTGAGTACAGTAGAGGTTTGCATATGAATCCAGTTGAAATTCTCAAAAAAAAAAAAAAAATCTCTGAGGTCTAGCAAGAATATTACTCATTACCAATATGGAGGTTGTAGTTTACGAAATAGAAACAGACTTATTCCTCACCAGCAAATAAGAGTTACTACTCCACTAAAATTGCGTCCTAAATGCTTAATTCAAAGAAAAATTCAGTGCTTGTTCATATGTGTCTGTGTGAGAAATTTTGCTTGAATTTGTAAACAATGACTGTCTTAATCATAACTGAGCTAGTAGTTGTTTAGAAATGACATATGAACCTCTTGTCTTGATTCTGTGATATTTAGAGCTGTTGAATAGCATAAAATGTAACCCTGAAGGAGGAGTTATAACATAATGGAAATGGTTTAGTAAATGCACATCATATACAAACAATATGGTATAAAATAAAATGTTTGTTCTCTAGTTAATTAAAGATTCATTGTGTGCATAGTCACAAACAAGGTAAAAACCTGAGGGAATCTCTTTGGAGTATAGTGCTTTCTAGAACATGAAGAGGATTTGACATCTTTCAAACTTGTCCTAACCAGCCAGGTCATAGAGCTATCTTACTGTTTTTGAGACCAGTGCTTTTCCTTATGTCATTTTTCAAGGACTGTGAGGTAGTATTTCTTTAGTAGCGGAGAAATAAGTAGAAGTTTCATTTACAAGCTGGATGCAAAAACCGGTATTTTCTCACTCCAGTAATATCTAGAATAGCTCTCCATCACAAAACTTCGTTCTGTCAGAAGCTCTTAGTTGTTTAACCTCTATTTATGCTTTTTGGGTTGTTACTAAAGAGTACATTACATTTAAATGAATTTTGCTTTCAGAGGAATTAGCCTGACAATGTGATGGGCTATTTATCAGCTTTCCCTGTGCTTGGGCCTTTCTGTAAACAGAATTTTTATAGACAATGGATTTGTGATATGTCATTACTATGAAAAAACACAGGTTTCTCTTGTTTCATGAACTAGCCTTGCGAGACTAAATGATGAAAACTCAGATATTATTTTGAAAAAATGTCTATTTTGTATATCAATGATGTCTGTATTAAATTTGTTTGCTTCTTAATTGTATCAATCAGTGGTAAGTGAGCTCAGCAAAGTTGAGGCTGTCCTCAAGAGGAGGAAAATAAAGCATAAAACACATAAGCAAGACAAGAAGAAACACAAGAACATATTAAATACAGTTTTTAAAGTATACTATAATTCTGTAATTCTTAGACTAGACTATAAATCTAGTGAATAAATGTGGCATCCAGTAGTGAGACTGTTTCTGAATTCTGAAAAGGGGGGGGAGGTTTTTCCAAAAAGCAGTTAATTGTTTATATTTCTTGCGGTGGGGCTGAAGCTATGAATTTGGAAAATAATTGTGTTTGTCTCCCACCCCCCTTCTTTTTTCCCCCTTTCTCTTTGCTCTGCAGAACCTAAATAAACTCAGCTTGCCAAATGAGATTGAGATATCTTTCTGAATTAAATCTCCATGGAGGGTGGTATTCATAGTGCAAATAGCTCATAAATAACCATTCTCTAATTAGAGTGAAATCACTGAGTTGCTGGAACGTTCCTTTCAAGCTACACTTTGTATGAACTCTGCTGTGGGTTCATGTGCATCCCACACACATGGATTGCCTTTTTATGTTTGGGTGTATCCATTGGAAATGCATCTGTATCCCAGGTGCCCTGATCGTGTAAGGGACAAACCAAGCCCTTTCTTTGCTTTTCTTTGCATACAGCACTGAGACAGTAATGCCTGCTTAACATCTTATCACTAAGCTAGATAATGGCTGGGGAGTCTTTGAAATTTCCCCATGTGCCAACTCGCTATGACTTAATCAAGATCCGAGGCTTCAGATTTGCCCCTTTTGCAGAACTGCTGAACTGTTAAATTCTGGACACTTCAAATGCCTCTCTTGCCTTTGTGAAGATGATGTTCTTGACAGTGGTGTCATCTGCTGCTCCATTTGCAACTGAACATATGCTTTCTCTTGTTCAATTTCAAGCTCTTTTAGTGGAGTACTTAATGAAATCATTATTGCAGTCTTGGAAGTAGAGAATTTGTCAAGTTCAAGGTATGATGGCAAATTCCTGAACTCAAGCATCATTACAAAAATTAAGTCTCTTGGCAGCTGCAGGGAAAAACAATGTACATCCCACTATAAAACATTATTTAAAAAGTAATTATAAAGCACCAGCTCAGTGAGAATGAGTGAGCATAGGTGTACTCTTAAGACTCTAGAAAAATTAAATGAAAGCCCTGTTCATTTCAGTAAAGTTGACGTCTGGGAACCAATTGGTAGTCTAGATTTGCTTCCTTTGATAATGCAGTGTTGTACTTGGGCTGCTTCCCAAGCAAAATTGGTATTATTGTAGTATGGTTGATGCACATATTACTTTAATGCCCAGTACTCTTGTATTGGTGTCCATTGCCTGTGTTTTCAGTGCTGATTCCAAGATTTGCTGGCAGTGTGCAAACAGGGCAAGAGAGGAAAAGTCTTAATTTCAAATACATCACTCCCAAGTGGAAGCCCTGTAAAACAGTGGAGCGAGCCAAGCAGGGGGTCATGTGAGGAGGGACTTGCTGTAGAAGAGAGTCATCTATAATACACAAGGCCTAAAGCTAGGTAAAATGAATTTTCTAGGGTATGGTTTTAGGTAATTAAGACAAGATACCCGCAATGGAGGAGAACCAGTGCCTTAGAACTCTGAACCCAAATGGGCTGTCGGAGTGAAGACTCAGACAAAGTTTTGTTGTTTTACAAAAATCCACTTGTCCTTTTTTTTTTTTTTTTTGGTAGTGCAACAGTTGGTTTAGCAATTGTTTTATAATACCTATGTTTCCAATTTAGTTACTGAAAGCAAAATAATAATAATCCAAAGCGCGGCAGTGCTGGAATACCATGCAAGACCACTGGGGAGGATTAGGAAAGCAGATGTTGATTATTTCAGGATTTATTCTGAAACAATCTTGACTTTTAGGATAGGATGTTAGAAGATCAGAGAATTTCTTAAACTTGTGTTATCCTTGGAGAGGCTGCTGTATATTATATACTGTTTTAGTTTGCAGATGTGTTCTCAGACTCTTGTACCATAGGACTTTTTTATTTCCTCCAAACTGTTGTGCTTATGAGCTTGCTTTAAAATCCGGGAGGAAGCTCTAAACCCAGATACTGAAAAGCTCAGAGGACAGGCATTTGGATCATCCTCAGTATGCAGTCTGCCAAGGAACTTTAGATTATCTCTGGGAGATCTAATTGATCCTTCATGCTCTAGTGTCTGCTGTGTCTTTTTCAGCTGCATTGGAATCCAGGTATTTGAGTAATTGGGGTCAGAGCTATCAGTCTGGCAGAACTTGGAGCCTGTAATCCCAATTTCCAGCTGTGTTCTCTGCTATTTGTATTAATGCGGTTAGTAGTCCACTAGATAGAAAAAATACAAGAACTTGTCTTCTAAAATTAGAAGTATTTTTTTTTCTTTCTATGGATTTCTTTTCTGAAATTTCCTGAAAGTTTTTTCCCAGTCTTCCTTTTACTTTGTTATGTATCGTGCTATTGGTAAATATTGTCAGTTTTCTCTACTATGGTTTCCCTTATAGGTGTGACACAGATGTACCTTTGTTTCGCTCATACATTAGCAATGTAATTTTGTACCTTATTTTCTAATGCAGTTGACCTAAGTGAATCCTGCTTTTTAACCTCTTTTAGAAATTAACCGTGGGCTGCAAAGCAGGTCGGTTTTGTTCTATCTGTATAAGGATAATAGAGTTATAAATTCTCTATAAAGCCTAGGTTTCTGAGTTTTGTTTGTTTGGGGGCTGCAAACAGGAAAGTTCACCATACTTTACATTCTTCCTCTCTTCAAAATAGTGGTTCCACAATGTCACAGATACCAGGTTTTAGTTTTAGTAGATGACATTCAGATCCTTGTCATATTATTTTCTGGACTGGTGCCTGGAGTCCTTCTTTACTGTCAGTATATTCCCATGTGATTGATCTATTGAAGATCTTGAGAGATTGATTATGCTTTAAATTTTAGTGTTTGTACCCAACGGAATGCCATTGTGTCTTTACCCTCAGTGTAGCATTTTTAGTCTGCTTTGAAAAGTTAAAAATAAAAAGTTGCAGTTGACAGCTGTGTGGCCACAATCTCAGATGGTTTTGGGAACTTAAAGATACCTCTCTTAACAACAGACTATGTGAATATGTACATGGAAGTTAAGAATTTTATAGTAGGAACAACTTAAGTCTAACAGGCATAAGCTTAATAGATTGACTAAACTGAAGTGAGATACATTTGCATTTAAAATTCACACATTGACTCCAGTGCGGACTGGAATAACTTGTTCGTAGTGAACTGAAATCACTGCAAATAACTGAAAATTTAAATCCTAGATTGCATTTTTGTAAATAAGATGCACTTCTTCAAATTAATCATTAATAATCATATCCGTTGAGAAAGAGATCTTGGAATTATTGTTGCTGCTTCCCAAAATGTTGGTTGAATTTGCAGTGTTGGCCAAAATAAGAAAATGGAATGGTAGTCATCATTAGCAGTGGGGAACAAACTGAGAAAAGTCATTATAGTAGTACATAAAGCCGTGATGCATTGAGAGCTGAATATTACCTGTGGTTCTGTTTATGTCAGACAAGAAAAGATGTAGTAGAAGTAGGAAGGGTCCACAAAAAGATGAAATAAATAATGAAAGTTACAGAGTCTCTTCTGTATGAGGAGAGATGTGGACTAGTTCAGCTCAGTAAAGAGACAGCTGAGAATAGATACAACAGAAGTACCACAAATACTACACTGCCAGAGAACAGGGATTTTTTTTTTTTTTTTTTTAAACACAAGGACTGTAGGGCACCAAATACAATTGTCAGGCAAAAAAATAGCTGAGACAGATCTCATCGGTGGAGGTCAAAAGTAAAAGTGTGTTCAAAAAAGATTGTGCAAATGCAAGTTAATCAGGGGCTATTAAAGACAGTTGCATGGGAAGTCCTTAAATTTTTGATTGGCAGAAACTGGGAGGGAAAGAACGTGTATATGCATGTCACTTTTCTTGTCATCTTTCTCTAAAAATCCATTGCTAACTACTTCTAAGATAGGTGTTCTTAATTTACATTATGTTCTGTTGTTGCCTGATGGGGTTGTAAGGGAGACTGAGGTGGATCTTGTGCTGCTCTGTTGCCGGTTTCTTTAAAGAAGGTGAACGTAGTGCTTAGCTATGCAAGTATTTTGGAGGTGTTTGAGAGAGAGAGGTGTTTTGCATTTGGAAAACTGAGGAACAGAAGTATGAATGGCTGGTCTAAGATTCCTTTGAGTTTCATGCAAGATTTAATTTAAGAGTCAGTGTCTACTAGTTTCATATACTTTCTGTTTGATATTAAGGCTGCGTATTCCAAGATAACAGAGCTGGAAGCTGATTTTGTTCAGTATGTGGTGCTATATCGATAGTATGCATGGTAGGGTTGGCTTACGTTTATTTCTGCCTCCTAACTTACCTTCGCTTGATCTTCTGTGGAATCCTCCAGTATGGTTTCTTGCCATTTAGAAATTATTTCCAATGATCAGTTTATAACCATTTTACTTTAGATTTTTGTAGAAGTTCTGTTTAATATATTTTTTTCTTACTGAGGTTTTTTGTAGTCTTACTGTATTGTTCCTTTTTTTCCTTTTATCAGTAACGGAAGTGTAGCTTTATTATCTTGTAGGGGATGGAAGGAGGATGTGGAGAGTCAGCCTTCGTCCTACAGGAGTCTTTATTGCTGCATTGTTTCGTTACACACACTTGCATAGTTCAGCAAATTTATCACATTTAATGTTCTTCAGAAATGGTCTTTTATGTTTTATACAGGAGAAAGAACTTCTGGCATTTAGAATGAGAGAAGTCCATAAGACTTTCTTCTCTCTCTTTTATTATTCTTTTTTTTTCCTTTTCTAATTCTGCTTGTTGATTCTGGTTTGTCCTGTGTTGCAGGCGATTATCTGGCGCAATAGATGTGATTGGACAGACCATCACTATCAGCAGGGTGGAAGGACGACGTCGTGCTAACGAAAACAGCAACATACAGGTTTTACACTGCAGATTTCCACACTACCTTTGACTAAAAGACATTTTTGCTTTCCCAATAGCTTCTGATCATTTCAGTATATATGAATGAGTAATACAGAAGTAGCTTTAAGTTCAGGAAGAAAGTTGTGGCAGTTAATTGAAATATATTAAGATGAAATATTTTATATATTTCAACAGATAAATGTTTTGGTATACTTCTTACTGAAAGGAAATGAGCAATATTGCAGACTTACAATCCAGGAGACATAATTGGCTCCTGCATGGGATAGTGTTTTGTTTACTAAGTGACAAAGAAATATTTAAACTGACTGTCCATTTCTCCCCTATTCCTGCCAGACACTAATGCTGAAAGTGAAAGCCTTTTCGTATGCAGTTTGAGAAATGCAGTCTTTTAAAAATAAGTTGTGAAGGAATAAATAGTTGATAGTACTTCTTTTTTTAAATTATATTGAATTATTTAACCATAAATTGTAAGATTAATCTTTATGGTTTTAGTCTTTACGGGCTTGGATTATCTTAAGAAAACAACTAAATGCATTAAGATTGAATACACTTTTTCTCTCCTGACTTACCTGTGGAAAAGAATCAAGGTTGCTTGATGCCCTGGCTGCATTTCCTTGCCAACTTAGGTTAAGGTTAAACAACGAAAATAACAACGGATTGTAGTGCTTATAGTGAAAACACTGCCATGTGTTTTTCAGCTGATTTCACAGTGTTTAAGTAATTTAAAGTCTTGGGTTTTTTCATGCTTTCCATATTGATTTTTTAAATATTTTACTTTATATATAAATTTAAGATGGTGCTTTGGGCCATATTCAGACGGCTTATATTCCCTCTCAGATCTTATGTTCGTTGTTCCCTGTTGGCTGCTCTTAGACCCTCAGAGGTGCTTGGCCGGTATGGGACACTGAACGTAGGGATGCAGATAGAACTTAAACCATCTGAATATGGCTCTTTAGGTGCATAAGTAATAATTTCCTGTTGTAGTTACTCGAAAGAGAGGAAACCTATCTTCTACCCTGTTGACATAGCAATTGTAACTATAGTTTGATATTTTACAGGTTCTTTCAGAACGATCTAATCCTGAAGTAGACAATTTTACCAAGCCACCTCCATTTTTCCCTCCAGGAGCTCCACCTACCCACCTTCCACCACCTCTTTTCCTCCCACCCCCTCCAACTGTCAGTACTGCTCCACCTCTGATTCCCCCACCAGGTAAATATCCTGCACTACATAGGATGTGAAAAATGAGAGATGCATTGTCATCAAATGCTTGATAATGAATTAAAGACAGCACATTCCATGCACATTTGGCTATATGTGCAAAATTTCAGAATTTTGTGTTCTACTCTTTTCTTAAATATATCTGCAAGGCAGAAACATAAACTTCAGTAAGCGTAATCCCAAGTAGTAAATAATTGCCTAAGACTAAATGATGCATCTTGTGTCCTTGAAAATGTTCGAAGTGAGAAGTTGTTTTCTGTAATTCAACTACTGTTAATGCTATTGAGAAGTACATGTTAACAAATCATTCTACAAACTTTTGAACTAAAAAGTATGGCATACCATGAATTTGTGTCAGAAGTTGGATTCTCTGATGTCTAAGGTCAAAGCAGTAGCAGAAGCTTTAATTCCCCTTTCCCCTCATAGTATGTGTGAGTTCCCAAAAGTCTGGTAAGATTTGCATTTGTGCCATATCCTTTTTTTTCAGTCAGAGGTCTTATTAGCGCCTGGTGCTTTTATCCAGCATCCTGTGTCTGTGAATCTTAGATGAATCAAAGCTCTTTGAGAAGTCTTCTCATTGTTAAATCTGGTTTGAAATTTACTGATATTTACTGAAACTTGATATTTATGGAAATTTACTGGGGGGAGCATCATGGGCATTTGCACAAATAGTGCAGTTTCCTGAGTGTTGTCATTTTAAGGAATTAAGTTCAAAGGGACTTAGCAAGGAACTAAGAAGAATGGTCAGTGAGAAATGAGAATAGATGGAGAAACTTTGGGGAGTATTTGAATAGGAAAGTGAAGGATTTGTTTATAGAAGAGACTGATTTCAGGTGGAGTTCCTTTCCTTGTTTTCTCCTTTTGTTCCTTGCATTCTTTTGCTTGACTTGTTCTGAAATCATGCTGAGCAGTTTCTTTGCTATTCTGTTTGCATAGGGAATCCTTTAAAAGTTTCTCTGTGAATACTCTTACGTATAAGCAAGGAAGTAACATTATTATTTCTGTGCAACAACTTTGTGTGGGGCTTTATAGGGTTTAAATCCTCATAGAAGAGGTTGCTTTCTTCAGTTGTTGCTGACGATTTTAAAACTATTAACTCCTGCTGCCTGGCAAGCTCTGGCCTTCATCAGTGATTGTCATACACAAAATAGTGCAACCTAGAAAATAATTCTGTGCCCTTTTCCAAGCTTTTGTGCATAAACATAGAAAATGGGGTGTCTGAAGAGAGAATATGCTACTGCTCTGGCAATTTTGTTATGTTTCCTTACTGCAGAGGGGACAGAAAGGAGAGGAACGTGACGCTAATGATAACTGTAGTTTTAAGCTGCATTAAAACTTTTCTGATAAAATAATATAGGTAATGCATTGCAAGTTTTTAGAAAGTAATTATTTTAATTGTAATTGTGGTACAGAAAAGGTGATCTAAATTGTACGTTATTAAAAGCATGAGAGGAACCCCCACAGACACCCCAAACGCACTTGGTGCAGAGATGTCATATAGGTGTACTGGACTGTTCTTGTGAAACCCCTCACCTGTTGAGCTTTTAAAGGTGAAAGAAATCCACACGTGTTACTGATCTAGCAAGCAGGTTTGGCTGTAGTCTTGTGGTTTACAGACAGGTTTATGACATACACTTGTTCAGAAGGTCTCCTTCAACATCCTTCCGTGCTTCGAGTAGGTTCAAAAGTAACGATTAAGAGCTGTGGATTTGGTTTCTTCAGGCCTGTGTTTTAATTGTGCAGTTGCCAACTCTTTATCTTCAAAGCTGTTCCTAAAATAGAATCTGCCATCCCTCCTAGGTTCAATGGACGAGGAGGAAAAAAACTACTCTTACCCAATATTAAACCGGGACTACTTGCCAGAAAATCTAAGTATTCCAAATATAAAACATCCTCCAAAAGCCCCTTTGAAAAAGGATCTTGCTTTGAAGTTAGATCACTTGTTCTGAACTCACTCACTCTTGCGATTCAAATCTTTTTTTTGAGGAACAAGTCCTGGAACGATTCAAAGGGCCAAATGCAGAAAATTCTCAAATACTCCAAGGAGATCACTGGCTGTGGCAAAAAATGTGTTGTTTTTTGTTTGCTTGCTTTATTGCTATGTTGGAGTAATTTAAATCTGAAGAAGAATGTGGATGCTTCTGTTTAACCGGCTTTAAAAGTTGTTTTATGTGTTTTGGTTTAAGAGTGTAGTTAAAATGTGACATGTATTTTCGATATTAAAAATTACTCTGAAGTATTGAACTTCTGTTGCATAACTTTGGGAAGTTGACTGCCTAGGCAGGGCAGCCTAGGCAGCCCTAATACCAGGGCTTAGCAAGTAACTGTACATCTGTCTGCTCAGCCCCAGCAATCAAAGCGTGTACTTTTTATCTTGTGATAAAGCAGAGAGAATTTGACTTAGTTTAGCCTGTGGCAGAAGTAGTTTTTACACCAAGTTGAGTTATATTACATTGCTGTGGGCTATTACACAGTTCAGCTAATTTGCAGTATGTTGTTAAGCTGTGGCAGCGTTATCATGTTTGATTCCTTAACCTGCAAGTGGAGCACACGTGGCATTGCTTTCCTTCAGTAAAACCTACTTGGTTTTCTGTAAATATTTATCAGCCTTGAGTTAGTAGGGTGGTATACAATGTCCTGAAACCAATTTTGAGCACATTAGGTAAAATGCTGCACTAATGCCATTTGGATTGCTTTTGACACACGAGTCTGAATATTTAGGTTTAGGCCAGGTGTATCTTTGTGGCAGTACAACGTGTTGTAGGGACGTGATATGATCTACACTAAGTCACCTTCTTGCACTGGTACTCAAGTTTAGTCCCTACATTGCAAGAAATGATTCAGTATTTCAGAGTCTCTTTTCTTTCTCAGAAGAAGTAATTGGCTGATTACCCTTCAAGTATATTTTCATACACTGCATTAGTAGAAGGCAAAGGAGTGAAGAGATTCTTAATTTTCCATTAACTGAAGTTTAGGTTTTTTTTGTTTCTTGTTTTCTGTCACATTTGTGTGTTAGTGAAGAAGGTGAGGAAAAAAAACTTTGTTTAGATCTTTTTAGTCATACTTGATAACTTGGAATGTAGGAGAATGTTTCTTCCATTGTGATACCATCAAGTAAATTAGCTTCTGTCTTAAAATTATATAATCATTAATCATGACTTTTTAAATGTTCTTAAAGGTTTTTTGAGGAAAAAATGCCTGTGTGGGTTTTTTTTTTTTTTTTAGTGTAATGCTCTGTGTTAACCAATTCATTAAAATTATTTGAACGTTTGGTCTCTGGATATTAGTTGTATTCAGTCTGTCTTAATTTTGTTTGAATGGCTCTCAAGTGAAATTTTTCATTTGGCTTTTAATTGTGTGATGAGATTTTTATTTGTATTTCTGCACAAGATAAAATTCTGAGGAATATATTAATTGTTTAATCAGCATTTCTTCCTTTTTGTAAAGAGTGTTTGCTGATTGCTTTCCAGGCAATTCTGTGCATAGTGCTGAGAGCCATGTTCGGTGCTAACAACATACAGTTTTTAGTGCAGCAATTGAAATTTTGTTAAGCATAAGGTAGAGCTAATAAATTAATCAATTTGAGAGAAGTTCTGATATTTTTCTAGCTTGCTTCCTTAACATTGCTGTTAAGAGGTATTTTTAATATATTTTTATATATATATTTTCTATGTTGTTGGCTCATGAAGAATCTATTAAGATGGACAATTAACCAAAAAAGATGAATAGAAAATACTTCAGCTATGCAATAGTTTGAGTTCCCAGTCTTCCTTTTCTTTCAGAAATTTTCATTAGGCATGTTTGCTCTTTTAAATGTTACAGTGTCAAACTTTTTAAGGTGTGATTTACAGTGTTCTTAACAACGATAGTGCACATTGGAAAGCTTGTGTGCTGGTGAAGAGAAAATGGCTCATACAGTTTAGAAATTTGGCTTTTGGGCTTCACTGTCTCCCGATTTACATTTTGGCTGAGAGATTAGATTTTAAATCTTCAGGATTGGACAGCAACCTCAATTTTGTTTCACAATTTGTTTAATCCTATAGGATTAATGCTGGTAAGAATTCAAGTCAGTAAAATCACCAGCAATTAGTGAACACTGATACTGATTACTCTTCCTCAGCTTGCATATTCCTTCCTTCTGTCTTTCTGCCAAGGCAATTTGGGAGCAGTTGGCGTTTCTAGACATTATAATATGTAGGTGTAGTTAAATGTTGCTGCCATACAATAGTCTTTTAGTTCTCATGTTGAACTATAGTGATATATACATAAAATTAATCATGCAGTGGCCAGCACATCTAGGATATTCTCTGAATGAAGAAGTCTGGAACTTGAATGAGATGGGTTTTAATTTAAGTGGGTCTGGTTGCTGTTCTGTCTATATGTTTATGTAGTTATGGCAAAACTGATGAAAGCACGTGGCAGTTTTTTTTTCTCCCCCCCCCCCCCCCCCCCCCCCCCAAGTCTTGAAGTGAGTTGTCAGATTGAAAGTACTTATTTTTTAATGGAAGCAGAGTTGCTCATAACTGAAAGAGCTTTATGCCTGGTAAAGTAGTCTATTTTCTGACGATATTGTTTTAGCCCAGTTTATTATTTTCATGTAACAGTGTTTTGTGTGTTCAACTGAGGTAAAACTAGTTCTTTGCAAAGTATGAGAAGATAATGTCCTTTAAAGTGTACGAATGATTTTTGCCTTGTAATCATTCCTGTCATAATCAAATAAGATAGGTTTATATGTTGAGGCAGTATATTTTGTTAGGTCAGCTGATTTAGTTGGGAACAATTTCTCAGCTTTTAGTTAGATTCATAACAGCTAAGCTGGGTCTGAAAACCGGAAAAGTTAGAACAGTTTTTGAATGTGTTTGTATTAAAGGATGCTCCTTTCTCTGATATTTACAAGAAAATAGAGTACCAAACAAATTTTTTTCCCCTCCAAGGAGCAACTGAATGATTAATTGCAGTGTGGCATAGCATTGGCTGAAAAGTCTGTAATGCTTACTGTTGCTAGAATATTTTGTCCATGTGGACTTACTATTTCCTATACTAAGCTATTAAAGGTCAGAGGCCAATTGCGTTTCCTTTCATCCAGTCATGGAATATAAAATAAAGCAAATATATTCTGTGGGATGTTACTTTCTTTCTGGATGCTAAACGTTTTAAGGTTATGGATTTAATTCTGATCTTGAGACCCAGAATCATCTTCATTATTTTTGTCTCTAATTAAGTAAGATCCTGAAGAACAGGAATTTAAATAAAAAGCCAGATTTTGCAAGGCTTGCATAAAATCTTAACAATTGGTATTAGTGTGAGATCTTGATCTGAGGACACAGGAAGTAAGTTATCATTCCCCTTGATCATGTATGTGGTGATAGCTCAATCTGATTTTAGATCTACAGATAATAAACATAAACTACTACTATAACTGATATATTATTTGTTGTCTTTTTAGGTATACCAATAACAGTGCCACCACCAGGTAAACTTGCTTAGAATTTTTCTCCATATTTGGTTAAGAAATGAAAACTTAACTGGTGTGCAACTTACCAACTTCCTTTTAGTTATATAGGTAAAAGTTCATAAGTACAGAACTATATGTATAGGTATAGGCTCAGTTATTTTGATGCCAGGCAGAAAAGAAAATGTATGAAAATGTTGACTAGTAGACCTAATCAGCCAGTTTCAGATGTGTGCTTCCTTCTTTTCTTTCCATTCTTTTTTTTCAGATATGCAGAAAATAGTTGTGATTGTTGTTTATTAAGTATTATTAGGTACTCAGGAATTTTCCTATGCTTCTGAATTATTGTATTTTTAAGAATGATAAAGTGTTTGGTTTGAAGCAGTGATAATAAATGTTTAATACTCCGCTTTTGTTAAGCTTTGTTAGGTAGTTCTCAGTCTTACAAATAACACCCATTTACACAGAAACAATTTTTGCGTTGTACTCTGGAATTTGTTTTCCATTGTATGCTTAGCTTAGTTCTTTTATGTGTTTATGTTTTTGGGGTTTTTTCTTTTTCCCCCCTCACCTAATTTGTTATTACAGGCTTTCCACCACCACCTGGCGGTCCTCCACCTTCCCTCATACCCACAATAGAAAGGTGATTATCTGTTTGAAATCTTGTAAAGCAATAGGTCGGTATTCTGTAACTGAAATAAATTAGTAAGGACTCTTACACTACCCAGTGTTTTATGGATTTTATCTGGGAGTGGGGAGACAGTTCCAGATTTTTACACTATTTTGACAGAAATGTTACTAGTCTCACCTGCCTGACACTTAATATTTTTTTGAGTAGGTTACTTGACCACTTACTAATTTAGTTGAGTTATGACACTATATCAATGCCAAGAATTAAGAACAAAGTCAAGGTAATGATTGTTAAAGTATTCTTTAGTAGTCTGAAGGCTTATTTAAGTGAACTGTATACTTGTCAGCTACTGTATCCTTTTCTATAAATGCAAATAAACAATTTGGCCACAGATTCAAGCCCTCATAAGCTATAGGAAGTGCCAGAGTTCCATGGAATCTAAATTTGTATTTCTATTGTGTTTGTTTTAAGTGTTCAGCTTTAATAGGCCTAACAGTATTTTTTCACTACCTTTTTTATATACATGTATATGCATACTTTTTTTTTATATGTGTGTGTATATATATGTATATGTAAAAGAAAAAAAAAAGTTGGCCAGCACAGTCCTTGAAAAGTATTTATATTTTGCTAGAGGCCAAAACCAAGTCATATACAAAGCTCACTTAAGAAGATGGTGCAAGCCTCTTGCCAGTCCTTTGGGTTTCACTGACAGAAGGTGCACACATCTGTTCCTTTGAAATTGAAAATTCTATTAACATATATGCTACAGGATGATGATGGTAAATCTCTGAGAAAATCCTCATCTGATTTAATTCAGAAAAAAACCCTAACTGGATGCACTTGATGTGCATGAAAGTAAATTTATTATTTCATACTGACAGTTGCTGTGAGTGACTGCTGCTTCTTACTGTTAAGCAGCAGTCATTGCATTTACTTATAGTGAATATTTATATAGTTTCTGAAACATGATGAGAAAAAATCAAGTTTATTGTGGAACCTAGGAACTAAGTCTCATACTTTTAAATGTTAAGATGTTGTATTGGCCTTTCATTATGATTGTTTTTGTTTTGTTTTTAAACTAAGCTAAGCCAAAACTTATTTTTTAATGTTAAAGTGCCTTCAAGAACAGAAATAACACTTAGGTTAAATACTGCAAATACAATTCATTCAAATTATGTAGGAAGTGCTAAAAGTTGTGAAAGAATTATATATGTATGAATTATGTCCTGTGCACATATCATCCTTTTTAACCTTTCTGGTTTTTACCTACTTGAGTTGGCTACCACTGAAAGAAGTCAGCCTAGAAAATGTGTAGCTAATTTAATAGTTTATTTATAGAACTACACATTTGAAGCCCACCTGTTCTTCTTAGATATGCTCACATATCTACTTTTTAACAGAAAGAATGATAATGGCTTCATTCATGAATGAAGCACTTTAAAGCAGTTGGAGGTTAAGCTCAGTATCTGTGCAGAAACATCTCATGATACAAGAAACATTTGGAATAGAAAATTCATTGAAAATACAAAAGAACAGCTTTGATGATATGGATGTTTTTTGTTTTAAATTTTAAGAAGAATGAATGCTGTTTTCACCTCCTGTAGTAAAATATGAAATATTTCTGTTGTTAGACAGCTTCCATAATTAGTAATGTTCAAAACTGAGGACTTAAATCCGTTTATAACAAACACTTTGTTTTAGTCTCTATGGTGGTAAGAATTAAGGGGAATAATATTAAAAGTATATATTTATTGATGGAGGTAGCTTTGGTAAAACTGGATTTTTACATGTATTTTCTTTTCAACAGTGGACATTCTTCTGGCTATGATGGTCGTTCTGTTCGTGCATTTTCATATGGCAGTGGTGAGTAAGCTTGCTGGCTTTAAAAATTTTGAGTAGTGCTATATCAAATTGTTTGATAGACTCACCAGGATTTTAGCTAAGAGACTAAACAGGTCCTTTCAGTAATTCATTATGACAGCTCATTGCCTACCATTGTAAACAGATACGTGCTGTTGCAAATTTAACAGCTGTTGGTAAATACTATTGTTTTGCTTACTTATTTGTATGCTGGATATCTTTTCATGCTCCTTTTGCAGAGCTGTGATTTTGAAAAATAATACACTGTAATATGGACCACAAGTCAGGGAGAATTTTCCAAGAACTGGTAGGATTTAGAAGCAGGAGAACAAGTACTGTCGAGATATCATCAGAATTTTAACCAGCAAGACCAATCATTGAGAAATCCTGAGTGATGTACCTCTCCTTTGAAAAACTGTTTGTCTAAGATACTATAATCTTCAGATAACCTGTTGCAAAGTCAGTCTTTCTTTTTTTTTGGTTAATGTTATGGAAAAAATTTGAAGCTGAAAAACATCGCTTTCTTGTTTGATAGTAAGAGTGAACCAAAATAGAAGTTTCATTATGTGCAATCAAATGGACATCCACAGAACCTACAGTGAGTTTAGAACCGTTACCTAGCACAGCTCTGCTTCTTGAGCCAAAAGAGTGATAGCAATACTAAGATGTCAGCTTCTTCCTGACGTAGCCCAAACTGGGAAGATAAAATAAACATAGAGTCACAGAATGGTTTGGGTTGGAAGGGACCGTCAAAGATCATCTAGTCCAAACCCCACCCCGCCATGGGCAGGGACATCTTTCACTAGATCAGGTTGCTCAAAGTCCTGTCCAGCCTGACCTTGAACACTTCCAATGATGGGGCATCCACAACTTCTCTGGGCAACCTGTTCCAGTGTCCCACCACCCTCATCATAAAGAATTTCTTCCTTACGTCCAATCTAAACCTATCTTTTTTCAGTTTGAAACCATTGCCCCTTGTCCTGTCACTACAGGCCCTGGTAAAAAGTCTCTCTCCATCTTTCTTGTAAGACCCCTTTAAGTATTGAAAGGCTGCAATAAGGTCTCCCCAAAGCATTCTCTTCTCCAGGTTGAACAACCCCAACTTTCTCAGCCTTTCCTCACATGTTCCAGCTCTCTGATGATTTTTTGTGGCCCTCTTCTGGACCTGCTCTAACATGTCTTTTTTGTACTGGGTGCCCGAGAGCTGGATGCAGTACTCCAGGTGGGGTCTCACGAGAGCGCAGAGGGAGAATCACCTCCCTCAACCTGCTGGCCACAATTGTTTTTATGCAGCCCAGGATACGATTGGCTTTCTGGGCTGCAAACTCACATTGCTGGCTCGTATTTAATTTTTCGTCCACCAAGTATCCCGAAGTCCTTCTCTGCAGGGCCACTCTCAATCAATTCATCACCCAGTCTGTACTGATACTGAGGGTTGCCCTGACCCAGGTGCAGGACCCTGCGTGTTGCCAGTCACTGCCTCTGCCTTCAGTGCATCTGCCACCCAGCCCCATGCCTAGTGCCTTTTCTTCCAGCACTTTTTCTG